TTTGCTCTACAGCAAGAGGAACCAAGCCAGAACTCTGCCTTCAAATCCTGTTTGGAACTTCAAGTAGCAAGGGAAGGCCTCTCAACCAAGCAGCTGTGTAACTAAACCCTGCGACAGCCTCCATGAGTTTGACTCCTCAGATATCCTTTACTGGTTTCTTGACGTGCTTTAGAAGAACACCTCTGGTGAGTATGTGTGTGAATAATATAAGGGTGGGTGAAAGGAGTGTGTACACAGACCGAAGCTGGGATATGTGTGCATTAAGTGTCACTGGACGAAATGGGGGCTTTTGATGCCACACCATTTGGGCATTATCCCTTACCATCTTCCCTCTAGTCCATGTGTAACAGGCTGTTAATCAAATCATCTTTCGTCATGCATGAGGGAATATTAACATTACTCAAAAATGCCTATCCAAAGATAATCTTTAGAGAGAGAACTTTTAGAGGGATGTTTGGCTGGTCTTTCCTGCTCAATTCATGCTCTTAAATGTGTGCAGCCTACAGGGCTCAAAGGTCTGTAGTATCCATTGATCAGCTGAGACTCACATTCAGATCTTAGGCTGCTTTTATTCGAATACTGATAAAGGGCAGAATCACATCACCTTTAGGGTTAGTACCTGTTGTGCTTATTCAGACTTCACTCAGGAGGTATACCATTGTGCTTAACTTACTTGAGTGTTGCCATATGTACTCCTGAAGACCTCTATCCACTTTTTGACAGTGCTGGTGTATGATACGCAGTTGTCTTTATGCAACCTATCTGTCCACAGAAATGAGACAGAACTTGTTCCATTACATAAACCAATCTTCCTTCACACTCCTTCAACAGACTTTGAACAGTCAATTCTGTCCTGGAATAGGGGCCACCTACTTCACATAGGGAAAATAATCAGTCCTAGATAACAAGAACTCTAGATGACTCTTCAGTTGTTTGCACATTAATTGAAGCCACTTGGATGTAAACAGAAGCAGGCAGTCTAAAAAGAGGTCTGCTATGTTTATATGCTAGACCGTCTTCCTGCAGGGCGAGACCCCAAACAGTCCACTCTGTTTTCTATGGAAGAGCAGCTTGATTCTCTCTCTATTCCTCACTTAGGACAGCCTATAAACCCACAGCAGAAACGTTAATGAAGAGCTATTTATTACATCAGTGACAAGCCAGCTTCTTATAATCTACATTTGCTTGCATTCTTGCTTACATGTTTCTCCTTCCAACCCCTAACTTTCTGTGATTCCTGCAATCTTAGTGATGTGGCAGTTTTGGAAATGCCAAAATCTGACCAAGAACCTCTGTCCTTCTTATTCTCAATGTGATATTCCTGTTATATAGTTTGACGAATAACCCCAGCAGAGGGTTGTAGATTAAACTTCGTGGCTTTAGGTTGCAAGCATCTTAATTTTAACTGTGTTCATTTCATCCCTAAGGTTAAATAACAGATTCTCTCATTTGTCCAAAGTCAGTTCTAGTGTCACTAACAACTTGGCAATGCATGCTGCAGTGGCAGGCCACTGAAGGCAGGTTACTGTTCAACTTACAGATCATCTTCAAAGGGACTGAATAGATTTATGAACCGTAGCAAGACCTCTGATCTGGTAGAAGCAAGAAGAGAGGAATGAGAAGCTGTGACATGGCTTTCAGCTTTACTTAAATTCCTGAAGTGCCGTAGCAGAGTAAGGGAACACCGAAAAACTACTGTGGGACCTCTTTAGCCCAAGACCCGGCACCATCTGGTATTATTTCCCCTGCTGTGCCAGTCTCTGGTGCCCCAGAAGTTGAACCCTGCAAATTCAGATCAAAAGTGGGAGGTAAGAATGGCCTTCCCATAGACAAGTTCCACATAGTGGATATACCTCTTTTTTAGCTGTATCACAGTTGCCTGTTGCTTAATGAGGCTTAGGGGCAAGGTGAGGAGAGAAGCAATCCTACAGCAGGTGGCTGGCACACTATTATCTAGCTGAAGTGATCATATCCAAGTTGCTTGGGTTTGGTTTTGGTTTTAAATTTATTTTAATAATGGATTTATTTCTTCTCAGTCCCTCTTGCAGGGGCCTATGCTGTTCAAATAGAGTTATTGCCTTTATTTGAATTTTGACTCCAGATGAAAGGTTTGCAGAACAGAAGTCCCTTCAGGTATTGAGTGCTGTGTTGGCCTGTAAAAAAAAAACAACAAAAAAAAGTTATTCCTCACGTGTATCCAGCCTGTAAGTCAACTCTAACTTTTTGTCTTTATAACTACTTGAACACGTGGTTTGTCTGAAGAAACTGTGTACTGCCTACTGATTCATTTAGATTTCCTAGGCCTTTTCCTTTCTATGCAGCTTTATCATAGCATGGTGAGGAGGTTGATGGGCAAAAGCAAACCATATGCTGGCATGTCCCAGTGCAGTTGGAGAATCCACACTGAGCAACCAATCATAGTGATAACGTTGAGTCTCTGCAATGGCTTGGAAGCATGTAGAGAATTTGCATCTAACAATATCCTTCCCTCTGCGGTGGACTTGAACAAAGGGACTGCCAGCTTAACAGCCACGTAGAGGAGCTGAGAGGTGCCTTGTTCTAGGGAGAGATATTTTTGTGTTAAGATGAGGCCCAAGTAAAGGGACAGTGTCTCGACAATGTGTCAGGGTGTGGAAGGTGGCGCCAAGAAGCTTGCCACTCATGATTACTCCTCTTCAGGACAAGCTGCCTTCTGATCACTCGCCTCCAGATCCTTTACACCGTGGCAAGTAAAGAGAGCAGGACTGAAGTGGTTACCTTTCTTACAGTGATTTGGGAAAATGTATCAATGTCAGCCCAAATGACTTTTAATTGCAGTGAAATGGAGAGTTATGGAATTTTTTGTGTTCCCAGGTCTTCATACCTGAAGAGTGGAAGTGGTCCTAGTTTGATCCCTTTTGTTATGGCTCACCTATATGACTTGTGGTAGCAGCCGTTGGCATATCTAGGCAGTGAAAAGCAGTGGATGTTGAGGAACTGGGACAGGCTCCGTGATGTAATGCGTGCAGACAGAAGGAGTAGTTAGTTATATGACATTCAAGTTGCTACTAGTTCAGTGTGTTGTGTATCATGGAAGGGTGTTTGATGATGATGTGGATAAAGTTATAAAACAGGCTGTCCTGGAGTACAGTATAGACATAATGGATATTTGTCTGTACTGTGATTCAATCCAGCTGGTTCAGGAAACTTAATGCTGAAACCAGCTGCAAAAAGCAAAACTGGTAGAACTTTGACATAAACTTTTTCACTGAATTCAGTAAAGCACTTGTGAACATACCCTACACCTGAAATCAGAAAGTTGCTGCTGGAAATTATATTTTATTCAGATTTGTATTCATTTTTGGAGTGAGGAAGAAAAAGATTGAACAAGACTCATAGTAAGAGGGAACAGCAGGGATGAAGTCCTGTTGCTACCAATGGATGGACAATATGGCCCTAAAACAGAGGAGGGGTAGCAGAAAAGCCCCAAACTTCAGCATACTGATTTTGTTGTTATTCTACTGTAGAAAAAATAAGCTAAAAGATTGTACATGTGACATGTGACCCATCAACCTGTAGTCTTAACTGAAATAATTCTCAGCACTCTAAATTTTAGCTAACATTTTGGTTTACAAATCTGAATATTTTTTTCTGATCAATTTTTTGAAAAATCTTTGAAATTTGACATTTTTCAAATCTTGAAAAAAATCTATCCTGAAATGCGTTTTTGCAGCAGATCAGTGGGACAGCTAAGATTAATAAGGGTTGCAGGACTAAACAGTGGAGAAGTTGTATAAGTGGACAATTACAGTTTTCTTTGTAGGAAATCAATTACTTTGTTTTTTCTTGATCATTCAGGTTAAAGGGGTAATAGAAGCAAGAAGACATTAGCACCTTTTAATGATTAATAGTAGCTTTTGAGTATATTTTTGGAACTGTAAAACTAGCTGTTAGTTTCTAATTACTTTGAAGGGTGAAAAGACAGGGAAATACTTTTCTGTCTGTATCAAACTGCATCAGCAAGAAGAGCACTAATGTGTACCTTTTCTCAAAGATTCACTTCATTACTCCCATTTTCTGTTATTCCTCTGTTATGTTTTCCATTTCTCTAGCTGGTGACCACACATTCAGTCTTTGGCAGGCATATAAATTCACAGATTGCCGTGTTCACACGGGAGACGTGGGCATACGGGAGTGTGAATATGCCTTAGTGTAACATTTATGTGCAACTGGCTTTTAATAAACCACTTGTTTCTTTCCATTGCTCTGCATATGTACAACATCTGATTCCTGGCATCCAAGACCTGCTGACTATCTTTATTATTCACAGGCTTCACTTCATTTGCATAAATGAGTATTTGTTCAGAATGTGTCTTACCCCCTTAATAATACGGGAGGGCTGGATAAGGGTTAATGATGCTTTCTTGGCAACACACACAGGGTAAA